CTACAGCGTATGAAGTTGGATGGGTGCTCCACCTACAGCGTATGAAGTTAGGTGGGTGCTCCACCTACAGTGTCTGAAGTTGGGTGGGTGCTCCACCTACAGTATATGAAGTTGGGCAGAACAAACAAAGGAATGTTTATAAAGAGTTCCATAGCATAAAATTCAACCCTGCAGCACCTCAGGGGAATCTTTGTTTCTTTGCTTGACTTTTTTTTCTAATCCCCTCCATCCTTTCCCCCCGTTCCCTTCTCCCACCTCCTTCCAACATCCCCTCATCCACTCCTCCTCTGTTTCTGTTCAGAAAGGGGCAGGCCTCCCATGGGTATCAGCAAAGCATGGCCTGTCAACTTGCAGTAAGACTAAGCACCTCCCTTGTATTTAGGGTGGGGAAGGCCGCCTGTTATGAGAAATATGTTCCCAGGAGTCAGCCAGTACATTAGGGACAGCCAAATTGGTAAAGGCCCACAAATAAACCAAGCTACACAACTATCACATATATAGAGAGGGCTTAAATCTGTCCCATGCAGGCTTCCTGGTTGTTGGTTCAGATTCTGTGAGTTTTTATGAGCCAGGTTAGTTCGTTCTCTCTCTCTCTCTCTCTCTCTCTCTCTCTCTCTCTCTCTCTCTCTCTCTCTCTGTGTGTGTGTGTGTGTGTGTGTGTGTGTGTGTGTGTGTGTGATGTCGTTGACCCCCCCACCGGCATTCTACAGTCCACAGACCCAGAGAGGGTAGGTAAGAAGGAGGGCCCAAGGGGAGAATACATGGATCTCCCCAAGAAGGAGAAATCAAAGAGATCTCTTGGGTGGACTGGGGTCATGTAGGCATGGGAACATGAGGGATTGCACTAGGGGAGAGGGAGGGGTGGTACTAAAAGAAATTACTAGAAAGAAGGTTTTTCTGGGTCAGGTAGAAGCAAAGGAAACTCCCATGAATCTATAAGGATGGCCCCAGCTAAGACACCTAGCAATAGTAAATACGTAGCCTGAACTAGCCATCCCTTGAGATGAGTGACTACCCCAATTGTCATCAGAGAACCTTCATCCAGTAACTGATGGAAACAGATGCAAACATTAGCTGAGCTCGAGGAATCCTGATGAAGAGAGGGACTCCTTGTTTTAACTAATGATCATGACATTTTTTTCTTTGGAACACAAAAAGGCTAAGACAGAAAGAATGTCCAGAATTAACTTCGGTGCTCCACCAGTATTTCCTGAGTCTGCTATGAGCCCAGCACTGCATGGACATGGAGGCTGTGACAGTCCCTCCCTTGAGCGTCTCCATCCTAAGGGGCGGGTGTGGATAACAGCAAATACATCAACAAAAAATGGTCCTCAGCAAATAATGAGTGTCTAGTAGAAAATGAGTCCTTAATCCCAGCACTCCGGAGGCTGAGGCAGGAAGATTGCCATGAGTTCAAGGTTAGCCTGTGCTACATAGTGAATTCTGGACCAGCCTGGGCAATAGAGTGATACTTTGTCTCAACAATAGAAATAGGAAGAGAAGGAAGTGGGAGATGATAATAATGATAAGCCCAAATGAGGGAGCATAGGAAGAGAGGGGATATTTTCAGTGTGAGTCTTCATTTGATCAACTAATTTAAATAAAAATACCAAGAGCGGATATAATCCTACTGATGGCCAGGATTGTTTTTACAGTTGTTTGTCTGTGTGTTCTGAGTGTGAGCTCCTACATGAGATGACTGTGCATATGCAGATCAGAGGACAAATTGTAGGAATCTGTTCTCTCTTTCCAACATGTGGGTCTTTGCAGCAGGTAATGTTAGCTACTGAACCATCTCATCAGTCAACCATACATTATTTGATCAGAGATCTGAATGAAGAAATGGAGACAACTGTGTGTGGGTACAAGGCAGGGGAGTTGGTGCAAGTGTGTGGGTATAAGGCAAGTGTCAATACCCAGTGGCTGAAGTCTATTTGGTATTTTAAGGGAAGAGCCAGCGTGGATGGAGCAGATTGCATGGGGGTTGGGGCTCGAGTATGTCAGCCATTGCAGACTGAAATAAACACATCCCTGGAGGCACAGTGTTGTTAGATACCCAAGGCATCTATACCAGACAGCAATTCATAAATTAGCTCACAGGTCTTCTCTACATGAGTCTAGGAACCTCTGTAAACCTCATGCATACACTTTTCTTCCTGGGCAAACAGATATAGTTTTACAGGCCACAGTGGACCTAGCTTGTGAGTGCATTCCTCCAAGTTGCTAATACCCCAGATAGCTACAAAGCACCTGGTCAGGAGATGGGGCTGCCTTGCAAACAGAACTCATGTGGCCCCCAATCCAAAGGCAGGCATTCCCCTAGACCCAGAGGAAGACGGGAAATAAACTGAGTCAACATGCCGGTGTCATACCCTTGACCATTTAGCACTAATCAAGAGGTGGGACAAGGACAAGGGATGCTGGAGAAGAAGGTGGCTCAGCCTCCAGATTGCTTCTTCCAGCTCAGGCTGTGACTGGGGGCAGCCAGCGCCAGCTTGCAGCTGGCCATAGACAAATGGGTCACTGCAAAGCCCCAGCTGTATTCAGCCAATGGGGTGACCTCTTCCACCCACTAGCTACACAAAATCCAGCAGTTGCCACCACTTGCTGCTTTCCCAGCCCTGCTTTAGCTCTTTGAATGGGCTAACAATGATTGAAAGGGAAGCAGGAGAGAGTGGCCTGGCTGCCTCTGCCTAATGACTGACAGCAGCTCTCCAGGGGTGTGAGCTCAGTGGAGGGCTGGACAAGGCAACAGGGGGACAGGACGTTGCAGTGCAACCAAAGAAGTTTCATCCAGAGGGAAAATGGGGATGTTGTGGGAAAGAGTGGGGCTAACCAGCCTTTGGGATGATGGGGGCGTGATCTTTGAGGAAGTCTCCCTGGAGGAAAGCGTGTAACAGATGAACATGAAGGCACCAGTGGGGACATCTGGAGGGTGAGCAGAAAGGCGTGGGAGGAAGGTCACATGAGAAGCGCAAGGGAAAGTCCAGAGATAGAAGAAAAAGGGGTGAACTCTGGGGCTCAGAGCAGCTTGTGGCTTCGGAAGAACAAAGCAAGGGCCCGTCGTATAATAGTTACACTCTAACTCTGAAGAGCAAAGTGGTGTTCAGACTGTGATGGGCACTGGGGGCTTTGCCAAACTGACATGAAGGAATCCTAGTGGAATCTGGGGGAGGGCAGTAGCTCAGAGATCCCCTTTTGTAATTCATGAACCCAGGTGTCATTTGAGTGGCAGTAGCTCAGAGGTCCCCTTTTGTAATTCATGATCGCTGTGGGCAAGAGAAAAGTTGGCTGAAGCAGGAGGATACTGCAGCAAGGCAAAGAAACTTAACCATGGTCTGGACCATGGTGTGATAAGTGCAGGATGTGCTGAAGACCTGGGGAGCAGAGAGAGCAGGGCCAACAAGGTGGAAACCAAGGGCAACTCCCAGGTCTGCAGACTGGGAAACAGATCAGACAGAGGCAGGGTTTGTTCAGAGAAAACGGGAAGCAGACCCACAGAAGAAGGAGACGCGTCTGTAGGAAGCTACAGGAGACAATCAGAGCAACATGAGATCAGGGAGAGGCCAGACAAAGCTGGACATTATGATATCACGGTCCTCCATACACGGGTGATAGTTAGAGCCTGTAGAGGAATTCTCTGGGGAGTGCATGGTGATTGACGGAGAATGCCATGGGCAGGAGAATGAGGAGTTTGCACAGGAGTTTGAGAATGAACAGAAAGAAACCAGGCAACACCGGGTCCTGGGAACCCAGTGGAGAGGGCAGGAGAAGATGCCAGTTAGTCAGATGGGCCAATCGATGGCAGAGGCAGGCAGAGACTGGAAGCAGAGACACATGTAGAAATGTCTATCACTGATACCTAAGGCAAAACAAACAGACAAAAAAACAGGTGTCGCAAACCTTTGTACCCATCATTGCAGTTCCCTCTGCTCTGGGTGAAGGCACAGACGTAAATCCCAAGAGTCACTCAGTGCAGTGCTTATCAATGGATAATCCAAGGAATAGAGCCCATGAGATGGAATATGCATGTGCACACACACACACACACACACACACACACTCATGCACACACCTCCATCCAACCGTACAGCACACGTCCATACACAAAGAGTCTACGATGGAATGAGTCTTTGGAGGAACTGCGCTTCTCATTCCCATGTTAGAATTTACAATGCAGTTAGCACAGTTATGCCCCAGGAAAGTCCACTGTAAGGACATGTTTAACCTCATCATCACCTAAATGTGGGATCCCTTTGCATCCCCTGCTGGCCTCCCCAAGATTGGCATCTACAAAGTGCTCTCTGGAAACCTCAATGTTGGGGGAGAAGGGAGGGCATCTAACTGGTGAGATGCCTGCATCTGGCAAGCCACAGGGAAAAGGCTTCCTCACCCAGCCTTGAGACAAAAAAAAAACCTACTTTGGTCTGTGTTCCCTTGTTTGTTCACTGATTTAAACTATGAGATACCTACTGTGCGGTAGTGCAGACCAGCAGGTGGCAAGGGTGGTTTGTTTGGGAAACGAGGGTTGAAGAGGACCAGGAAGACACTCTGCCTGTGTGTACTCTTGTCATAGAGAATACAGTTACTCTAGTCATCAGCCAGTCGCTGACCTCTTTGCAGGGATGAGGAAGGAAGGGTCACTGTGAGTCAGGCCTCTACCCTCCAAAAGGTTATGGGGCTCAGGAGACTCTTGGCAGTATGTGAAATATCAGGTGAGTCCTAGTGAGGGTCCTATGAGAGTGAGAGTTCTTCCTGCAAACAGTGGAATCCCATCCCAGTGTGGTTATAACTGCTACCATTTATTAAGCGCTTACTGTGTGCCGGGCACTTTATATAACAACAGTGTAGTAATCGCTAACTCTTGAGCTCCTACTACACACAACCACTCTTCTCAGTTGCTTCCACCTGCAAAGTTCTGACTCATATGGCCTCCCAGCAACCCAGGAGGTACTTACATTCATCTGATTTCCACAGCTGGGACAAAAATAGACTGTTAAAAAGGAGAAGAGGATTGGTTCGTTGCTTTAGAGGCTTCACTCCATGGTTGCTTGGATACATTATTCCTTGGTCCAGGGTGAGGCAGAACATCATTTATAGCATTCTGTGGAGTAGAAGTGGTTCACGTCATGATGACCAAGAAGCAAAGAGAGAGAAAGGAAGAGTCGTGGCCTAATGTCTTCTAGGCAGGGATACAGATTTCGGGCAGGTTTTCACTTCAATATCTCCTTTAAGGGACACCCTTGATGACCTCACTTCCTCCTACTATACCCCATCTCCTAAAGGTCCAATCACTTTAGGCTATAACCAAGCCTTTGACACATGGAGTGTGAAGCATATTTAAGATCCGTACCACATGCCAGACATGGTGATGTGTGCCTGTAAGCCCTAAATTCAGGAAGTATCGCCAAGCAGATTAAGCCAAACATCTCATTCCCATGATAAGAAAAGCAAGGCACTGAAAGATGACATTTCTTGTACACGGCCATAGCTAGCAAACCGCAGGGTTCAGTTCTGGCCCCAGATAGCCTGATTCCCCCAGCTATGACTGTTTTAAATGCTGTATTCTTTGACCATTAAAAATATCCTACTAGTACTTGATCTTGGATTGCTTCATTCTGGATCCACAGCGTTAATGATGTCACCCTGGGACCTCCAATATTATATATGTACTTTAGTTTTCACAGCTTGTTGGCATGGGTGCAGAAAACAATGCTGATTTGTAGAGAGCTGCTGGAGATGCCTGAATCCAGGGGTTCTCACCCCTAAGTTCATTCTCCCAGATGTGTGATCTCTTGGTACTCAGTCTGCTGTCAATTTTACAAATTAGAGTAGAAGTTGACAAATTTCCCAGTTACATCCTAGGCAAATGTCCATACAACTGCTATCAGAGGCGGTGGGTACTGACCATAGTGCTGAAATTCCATCCTGCCTCTTTTGGCTAATGGAGAAGTCCAAAGGATCCCCAAAGAGGGGCAATCTTGGCTGGAGCAGAGAGAAGGGAATCTTGAGAATGCGTGGATAACAGTAAGCATTTTGCTAATTCATATTCATCAGTTGGAGTAATATCAGTGCATATCTGAGGAGTGTCAGTCCTAGCTAAAGTCACGGATGTATCTGTTGACCTGTTTCCAGAGCTTTGACCTTCAGCGTCCCTGGACTCAGGACCAAGCAAACTTAAACACTGTTCTTCTGTTCAAAGTTGGACTCGGAGGAGTCTTTACCTGACCTAGGGTCACGGTCTTGAGTCTCAAGTGGGTCAAGTTCATGTGCACTGTTCTGTGATCACATACCGCAGCCCAAAGCTAGAACTGCAGATTTCCAAGTACAGAATGGGCCAGGACCTCCCTCCCTATGGGCGGGATGATCAAACAGCAGTGCCCTTGATCTAGAATCAGCAGAGGGCAGACCTCCGACTGAGAGGCACCATCCCATCCCCCATAACCCCTTGACAGCAATGCAGATCCCCACACACAAGACCCTTAAGTCGCTCCTAATTGAAGGGCTTGCCAAGCCCTCTGTGCATTGTGGATCTAATTAAGTTCCAACATAGTATCAAATTAAATTCTTTTATTAAACATTTATCTTCAGATTCCAGAGGTTCACAACACCACATTGTTTTTAGTGACAGAAATGTAAACAGTCTTTACCGCCAGCAAAGTGCAGGCCAAAGGCAGTGGCGGGACACCCCTTCCTAGAGACCATCCTTCCTCAGAAAAGATGGCAGAGGCCCAGGTGGTGCCTCCCTGAGGACCTGCATCTATCACGCACGCACACATGCACACACACACACACACACACACACACACACACACACACAATCAACAAGCAGCTCAGCTTCCCTGGGCTCTTTGGATCAGCAGCATACTTCCTCAGCAGTGTGTTTTATGTCTCAGAAACCCCTTTCTTCTGCAAGGTCAGTCCTGCTCCTGTCTGTACAAGGGCTGCTTCTGGGACCAAAAGTCTTTAAGTCCTCCACTTTCTCATTGCCCCACAGATAGTGAAGCCTGCAGAGCTGAGAATCTCTCTTTCTTATCTTACTCCATCCCTAGCCTGAAGCCTGGTTTGGAGAGGATGGCCGATGTGCATTTAACCAATTTGTGAATCAACAATGAGAGAGAAAGCCTTGCCCCCTGCTTCTATTCTCTTTCTCTTCCCCCATGGAGAGCCAGGTCCTGGGGGGGAGGGGCTAGTTCCTACCAGAGAGACTCATAAAAGATCCATCTTTTCATGGTATAAACAGCTATGGGAGCAAAGGGGAGCATTAACATTGAAGACATCATGAGCTCTCTGGAGGAAGACAGTCTTTCACCAAGATGATCAGTCTGGATTTTTTTAATTGGCTAGAAACCCTGTGACTTACACTCCTGTCATTTTTTTTCTAGATTCAGCAGGGTCCACCATGTTGGCATAGAAACTATTATTTGCATCTGCTCAGAGATCAATTTGCATGTATATTCCCATCTTTAACCCACACAAGAAACCATAAAGCAAATCATATTAATATCCTGCTTTACAATAATGAAGGAAAGCCTCTCAGGGTAAGCACCTTGCCCATGGCTCTATGCCTTGGTGTTACCCATAGTGTGGGTCCTGAGTCTATCAGCCCTGGTGTTTCCCATAGCGTGGGTCCTGAGTTTATCAGCCCTGGTATTACCCATAGCGTGGGTCCTGAGTCTACCAGCCCTAGTGTTTCCCACAGCGGGGGGGTCCTGAGTCTACCAGCCCTAGTGTTTCCCAAAACCGGGGCGGGGGAGGGTCCTGAGTCTACCAGCCCTGGTGTTTCCCATAGTGTGGGTCCTGAGTCTATCAACAGAGAAAATTTGCCAGCCTCATCACTTGAAGAGTAGGCACATTCAAAATCTGAGGGACTGATATGACCCTCAACTCAGGTTCTATATGAAGTACTGGCCAGACCTGGGGTGGGGGCTGGCGAAGGATTAAAAGCATTAAAAACTCCCAACCCATGGAGGAGGGACAGAGTATGGAGTCCAATCCCCGTCCTTGATGCAGTTGCATTAGGCAAGCAGCGCATGAACTCTGAAATAACAAGACAAGGCAGCAACCCAAAGTGTCCCAAGGCGGCCTAGGGATTAATCACTAGATCAGTAATCTTGAAGGCAAAGGCAGAGATAAAAGGAAGAATGCAACCCCAGGCTGTAAGGCTCATCGAGGGCTTCTCAGAATCAGGCTCATGGATGGAGAAAAATACAGATTTCCAGCCACTGTGAAACCTTCCCTTCCACTTCTCTAAGAGGCAGGCAGCCAACTTCTGCTTAAATACCTCTAGGAATGGGTAACTCACCTCCTAGGGAGGCCACTCCAGAGACCCTAACACCTACCCACAAACTGACCTAACATCTCCTTGCCCCATGGCCAGGCTAAGAGGAGCCAATGGAGGGAAAAATGGGTGTTCGTTTTGCTTCTTAAAGTCTGTACCCTGGGCTCCTCACCTGGTTGCAGCCCTGCCCTGTGCATGCCACCTGTGACTCCCAACTCTGCTCTCCAGAAGGAAAACAACTGTTTTAGATGGAAAAGAGGAGAGAGTTTCCCTTGTTTGGGAAAGAAAGCATTAGGGACGAAGAGACGGAAAGCTCTGGGTCTGGCTAAATGTAGCACTGTGCAGGAAGCCACGTGAAGTCTGGAGGTTGTGAGCGGGTGGGTGTCCTTGGCTTGGGAGCATTGGTTGACATTATTCCTGGGAAGAAAATATGTCTGCTTCCACCAGATAGGAAACCAACAGCAGAATCCAGCTTGGAGAGCCAATGAGTTTTGTTGGGGTTGCCAGAGTATAGGTGAGGGGTTACTTACAGGAGCATAAATGACCTAAAGACAGCTGCATCCCTCTGGAAATGAGCACAGTGCACAGCCTCCAGGCAGCTCACCAGGTGGGAGAGGGTCTGAGCCTCTTTTAGGGAGCTGGGCTGGTCTCTGCTGTTTCCAGACAGCTCAGTTTGTCTGAGAGTGTCTCTCAGCAGTCCTTGCTGCTTATATAACACTTGGGGAAAGCAGTCCAACGAATCTGATCAGTTTCAGGGACTTCCTGAAGTCTTTGTGTTGTCTTATTCCTGGGTTTAAGGAGCTTTCCTATGGGATGGAATGGTTCACTTGCCTTTAGAATGGCCTGTGTCAGATGGGCATCCCAAACTTTGGGGCCTCGTTGTATAAGCTGTTTCCCCCATAAACACCAATAGTATACGCAGTGTCTGGCCATGGCCCAGCTCTCTGATAAATATGCTGAACCATGAAGATGAACTGAAGGGAGTCTGTGGTCAGCAGCTTCGGCTAGACTAAGCAGAGGGAGGCATCTTGCATTTTCTCTATCCATGGAGAAATCTAAAGTCATTATTCTAAATCTTGCTTCCCAAATCCATTCCCAATTCAAGCAACAGCACATCACCCCCGGTCACTGTTCAGGTCATGTTAACTCAGAGATTCCCAATTGGGCCAAAATTCATAGGTAATAACTCATTAGGTCCTAAATAATCCAACCTCTGCTATTCCCTCTCAGTTAGGATACAACACACACACACACACACACACACACACACAGAGAGAGAGAGAGAGAGAGAGAGAGAGAGAGAGAGAGAGAAAGAGAGAGAGAGAGAGAGAGAGAGAGAGAGACTCAGCCAAAATGGTGGCACCTGGAATCACAGTACTCATGAGCCTGAGGCAGGTAGTTTATGAGTTTAAGGCTAGTCTGGGCTATGTAGTAACACACTGTCTCAAAAACAATTCTTTCTGAGAACCATCTGAAATGTTGAATTAAAAGATGGACGGCCTACCCAAGAGTAATAGTTCTAAAGGACAAGGGGCATGTCAAGAAGTTGGTAGAACATTTGTCATAAGAGGTGATGTAACCTGCTGTTAACTCCATGGTCTGAAGTGTTTCGCTGTCGAGCTGGATTCCTTAGTAGACCAAATCACCTGTCACTGAAGTGTTCTGAGATAAAGCTTCATGCTTTAAAGGAGAAAGCTTGTTAAAATGAAAAAAAGAAAGAGGACAGACAGAGAGGTGACCAAGACTCTGGCTCTCCTGCGAGGTCACAGCTGCCAAACACACAGCCTCCCATGATAGAACTACGGCTGGTGATACAGAGCAGC